CACCAGCACCACCACCACCATCACCATCACCACTGCCACTACAACCACTACCATACTACTACTACTACTACTACTACTACTACTCCGTTACCACTACTATTACTCCCAACACCATAACCATCACTTCTTTCTCCTCCTACTCCTTCTCAAGATTTATTGTAAAATTCGATAGATATTGCCAATTACAACCCCCGGAGGCGCACGATCGGCACCCCTCGCTATCGACGATAGAAGCCCCGGCACCTCCTTCCGCTCGCCTGAAGAATTTTAAATGCGTTTTATGTACAGAGACGACGTGGTGCGTTGCATAAATCTATCGTTCCTTCTTTCTCTTTCTATCTTTTCTACTCTTTCTTTCTTTTTTTTCTTTCTTTCTTTTTTTATCTTGTTCGCGCTCTCTTCTCTTCTGTTTCTCTCTTACCATTCCTCGCCACCCCCTTGAAAATATGATTACAATCACTGCCTCGCACCGAAAGGTCTCTCCCTCGGTCCTACAAACCTTCTTCAACCAACCACCCACTCACTTCTCTTCCTTCCCTTCCCTTCCTCTCTCCAATCTCCACCTCTCGTCCCAATCAGAATACCCGCGGTGATAAAACGTTTCATTTCGTTCGGGGTTGTTTCCGACGGAAAGAAGACTCGAATAATCTTCAACTGATTATTGTTCTTTTCTCTTACACTCGATTTAGATTTTTATACACTTACGAATACAAATACGCATAAGTATTAGGTTGCTAGAGAAATTCATGGTAATTTATATAAATATACATGCTCGATTTTTATTATTTTAACGTGCATATCGTTTTTCTCAAAATCAATACGAGTAATTTTTTTTCTTTTTTTTTTTTTTTTTTAAATAATAATATATAAAAAGAGAGAGAGAGATACTTCTTATATGAAATACGAAATACTGTGATTATACAAATTGATTCTATCGGATAGAAATAAAAAATTATATAATCCCAAATTCCAAAAAAAGAAAGAAAAAAAAAGATAAAGGTGATAGAAAACGTTAAATAAACCTAACAGTTTAAATTTTCATAGCCTAGATTCCTTTTATATCGTGATACTCTTGGTAATAAACGTACGAGACACTATTTCGTATGAAATTTTATCGGATTTTAAATGTGCACACGTCATTTTAATAATAAAATGAAAGACTGAGAGAGAGAAAAAGAGATGGTGAAGCTAAACGAAATGATTCTCCCTTCCACCGAACCCATCACCTTTACCCTCTTTACCTCTGCGTGCTCGCGTGTCTGCGTGCTCACTTTTCTCGTTCATTGCTATGACTCGTGCATGTTGCATTCGCTTCGACGTAATTACCATGATTATTCTTCGTATTCTTCGCGCGGTACACACGTTCAACGATTTGTCGCATTAATGCGATAAACTCACGCTCTAAATAGGAAAGATTCTCATTTTATTTGGTATTTATGTTTTCATATAGAAAAAAATACTTGTGTTATATGCGTATATATATATATATATAATCATTAATGTGTGGATATATGTGTGTGTGTGTAAAATATTTATCATTCATTTAACGTCACAATCGATCTATATAAAAACAGTGTAAAATAATCAACAACAAATGTAGAAATATAAATGCAAATTTATTTCATATATTAAACGACTAAATTATGATCATTATTATTGACTATTTAAGATATATATATATATAGTCATACGTAATAGTGAAATATCAATAAACTATATATACACTTACTAAGTTTACTTAAACCAATACTGTCTATTATTATAACAAAAAGGTACATTCATTTCTACGAACGACATTGGAGTTGTAAGTTATGTGTAACGATCATGTTGCTAATCGATGAAGTTCTTCTCTCTCTTTCTCTCTCTCTCTCTCTCTCTCTCTCTTTCTTTTCTCTCTCTTTTTTTTACTTGCATACTACTGAAAGTAACTCTCACGAGAATGCACGCAGAGAAGTTGTTCCAAGTCAGAAATAAACAGTGCTGCTGGAAAATAATGAAGCGGATATATATAAATATATATATATATATATATATTCCCTTCATGCATATATAAATACAGGACGGTTTATCGAAGCTATATTGTAAGCTTCATTTGCATGAGCTCGATCATGTTCTTTTTCTCCTCTCTCTCTCTCTCTCTCTCTCTCTTCCTCTCTTTCTCAAACGCGCAGCTGGACATACACGCGACAAAAGAAACGCTTTAACAAAACACGCAACCAACGACGACGACAACGACGACACGACGACGAAAATGATGACGATGACGATGCTGACCTGCACTTCGTGAAACTCTACTTGAAACATAAACACGAATTAGCATTATTCTATATAAGCATGCATTATGTTTATTCTTTCCAATGAAAACTTTTCATTTTATTTATTCATATATATATATTTGATTGCTAACAGTAAACAATATTGGATAATCTTAGGAAAGTTCATAAAAATGTATTTTTTTTGGATTAATTTACTTGAAAATATTTCTACGACATATTTGCTGTTTATTTTTAAATACAAAAAATTATATTTTTATAATATATTCTTCACAAAGGCGTAGGTAAAAATGATTTTCACGAGGTCGTAAGAATGAACAAAAATATTATTTATTTAATTTTAATTGGCAAAATATAAAAATGTTTGAAAAAAAGTATTTTTTTTTGAAAAATCTAATTCTAATAAATGTATTATATAAATCTGAAGGAAATAATATGAGAGAGATCGAGGATGAATGTTTTAAAACGAATTTCGGAATGATGCGCGATCGATCGGAAACGAGAGAAAATTATATAGAAAACTGATTGACTTTTGTTTGTTCGCTTATTTTAACATTGTAATTCGAAATTATTGACTTAATCAAGAAGAGAAAGGATTATCGTTTAATTATCAAACTGAATGAGACGAAATGCAGTTCTTCGGTAAGCCCGGTAATTTGTTCGACAAACAAATACGATTGTTCTCGGGAAATATCTATTCGAATATGGCGAATCAATGTCTCCTAATTTATTTGATAATTAAATAATTGATCGTTTACAATTCGATCGATATCAACGATATAATATTTCTACTTTTGTATTATAAAATTAGGTTAAAAATTATTCCAATTAATTTCGGAGACACGAAACTTCACTTAACCAAAAAGGCTATTTGAATAGATGAAAAGAGATGAGTGTATGATACATTTAATTGAATATTTAATGCTAAATTAGATACAAAAATTGAGGCGTTAAGAATATGAGTAAGCTATTACACACTTTTTCATTTTTTCTCTTTGAATCTATAAAGGTAGAAATGATCTACTTTCAAAACTGGACTAATGTTACAAAATGGACAAAAATTGGTACAATTTTTTAAAACGTTTTAGTCAAAATCACAGCTAGTTGGTTGGTCCACTAATGTGTGTTGCATTTATTAATTATTATATATTTATTTATTTTTAGATATTTTTTTAAAAATTGAGTATAAGAAATTTTTGTGATATATCTAATAATAATTATTGAATTATTATTCATTTTTTAAAATTAAAAAATATTGTGTATAAAAATTTAATGATGTATTGCATTTAATAATAATTGGATTATTATTTAATTTTTTTTAAATAGAAGATATAGGTGTATGTTACATTAATTATTTCTTTCGTTAGAACAATTTACAATGAGAATTGTTTGAAGATTTTCCAGAAAAACTTTTCGTATATAATTAAACATCTATTAAAATTATAAGAAATGCAAAGGAATAATAAAGAAATAAAATCGAGGGGTGGTTATGGGGTGTTGCTCGCGAGAGAGGGTAAACTAGCCGGAGACGAAGAGCATTCTCATTATACCCTCTTGATTTATGTGCATGCCATCTTGAAAATCCTAGGCTAGAAATAAAGTTTAAGGAAAAATAAGACTCGTCTGGCTGGCTGAGTAAAAGTTAAGTTGCGATAGTTAGAAAAGGAATAAGAAAAAGAAGAAGAAGAAGAAGAAGAAGAAGATAAAGAGGGAAAGGGGGAGGGAGGAAGTAAGGTGATGACAAAGTCTGCAAAAATATATTACAGAAATAAGCTTGGCGGTGGAGTAACGCCATCGTTTAAAAACTTTTTGACTATACGAACTTTCCCCTCCCCTTTAAGATCGATGTTACATCCTCGTCTGTTTTTTTCTTTTTTTTTGTTAACGAGCGAACGGTAAAATATATATATATACACACAATATATTCGTGCGTTTTAATAAAATATTATTTAAAAGAGGAAAAACGTTAAAACGATACGCTCAGATTGTTATTATTTGCAATAATTTACTGAATCTCAAAAGTATAATTTTTTTTATTAATTTTTTGTTACTTCTATTTTTTTTGTTTTTTTTTTTTTTGTTTTTTTTTCGCAAAACCCTATTACAATGAATTATACCGTATGTTTTTCCCAGCAGTATAGAAAGTTATTTTTTCATTTGGAAACATTAATAAAAACGCAAGTATATACACAGGTAGGTAGGTTGCTACGCTATCCCTCCGATGTTTGTAAATTTATCGTGTGAGACCGTACGCGTCTCGTTGTTTCGTATATTCCAAGCTGATTAAGCATGGAATGTTGTGGGTCCTTTCATTTTATTGCACGAAAGAGGAATAAGCTCGCCTAGAGGGATTATTAATTTGTGCTCGGCATTTTACTTTTGAAAAATATCGACGCACGCGAAACCGAGTCAATAATTATATACCCCTCATGGTGGAAATAACTTTTCTTTTACAAAATAATATTATATCGAAATTATTCGAGTGAGATGAAATAAATCAGTAAATAGAATGCACATATTATACACCTACGCGTATACACGTATATATATATATAAATTCATACATATGTAATAATAACATAAAAGAGAGATGGTAAATAATAATGTTTACGCAAGATGACAAAAATGATTATATTTTCATAAAATATCGTATATTTCAATGCAAGTATACTCTACTACGATTCCGGTATAAAGATATTAAATAAATACGTTGTTATATTATCGCAGGGACATATCGGTGAGAATCCGTTCGACAACGGTTCTTGGGGAAAGGAACATTTTCAACCATCGACGGTTCCCTGGCAGCTAAATCCACGCGGCCACTCTCGACCCAGTGTAAGTAAATACTTCATTTACGTATTAATTAAATCATCAAATTAACAACGATGAGCGTTTATTCATCAATCCAAGAAAAAAAAGAAAAAAAAAGGATTAATATAAAATATTATTTATTATATAGATATATATATATAAATGTGTATATAACCATTAATAACTTTTAATATAAAATCTGAAATATTAAAATATTTTTAAAAAAGTAAAGCGTATAAGTCACCGTGTTAAACGAATTAACGCAATAAACAAAACGTCATAGAAATTCTTTATTCCCCCCCCCCAAGTAAAAGTAAAAATAGGAACAAGAGTTGGAAGAAAAAGGATACGAAACAAAAAAAAGAAAAAGAAAAAGAAGGAAAAAGGTGGAAAGAAATCGGAAGGAAGATGGAAAAAGAAAGAAATCCGGCCACTCATTGTGTCCGCAGGTAACAAAAATGTTCCTAGTTTTCTCGAGTACTTTTTTCCCTAATGTAAGAGTTTGCTGCTCCTCCTCGTTGTTACATCGTAACCCTGTAACTACCCTGTCTCTTTCTCTCTTTCGTATACGGTCCTTTCTTTTTTCCTTTCCCCCTCTCTCCCCTTTACTTTTATCGTCAGTCCGTTGAAATCCACCCTTCTCGTTTTCTCTTTCTCTTTCTCTTTCTCTTAAGCTTCGTTCGTGCTGTCAGCCGGTATTTATAATACGCTTTGTTTTCCCTCAGCTATTTGTCTTGGCTCTCTCGGCTCCTTCGCTAACGTTATTATCTCGCGTTTTATTTTTATTTAATTCTACGCTCCTTCCACCAGAATGTCTCAGCGTATTCTGACACTGTCAGCTATACCCTTACATTTTCCAACCCCTTTAAAAACAAATCTTTCCTTCTTTCCTACATTCTTTTTTTCTCCTTCTTTTTATTTTTTTTGTAATCGACGTTTCTACGCGCGTGATCCTTGATTTAATATGGTTTATTTCATTAATAAAATTTTACTTTTATTATCTTTCATAATTATATATATATATATATATAGATGATTATTTTCAAAAATAAAATAGTTCATCTATTCTTTAATTAAATGAAATTATTTAATTTAAACTGGAAGTAAATAATACTTGAATTCGCTCAGGTAGGCGTGTGTTACTAATTCAAACCACCATACGATACGTTTTGAATTTCACGTGAACACGTATTCGCTGCGTGAAGATTTCTGGGATGCTGACAAATGCACACGTGTTAGGAACCTAACTACTCACCCTCTGTCCTACCTTTTTTCTTGCTATGAGAATAAAGGACACGCACGATCGTTAAGTGCAATGTCTTATATATATATGAATGCACGTATATATGCATATATATATATAGGAGAGAAAGAGATAGAAAAAGAAGCATATGAGATCATCGTTGAATTACAAGGATGGCTGATGGAAATGAACGCGGCTGTGCTGACGTCGATGAACATACGCGAGAGATCGTGCTCGTTTTCGATATGATTACGCGTTAGCTATTTTCTATGTAGAAGAATTGAACGTGACTTTTTGTTTACGCTTCATTCACGCGCAAGTTTACTTTTTCAGTCTTCGTTAAGCCACACACACACACACACAGAGTCGTGACTCATCTAGGATTCAATTATTTAAATTATCCTATACGATCATTATTTTATATACAATCGTTACTAACATTCTTTTAATACAAATGTTTGTAATGAAATAAATTTAAATCTACAATACGAAATATTCATTGCTTTATTGTTCAATAAATTTAAGTAAGATATATTATCTTCGTAAGAAAGAAGAGAAAATTGTATATAGAAGTGTTTGTTATGTTGTTAATTAGTTCGAACAATTAGTTTTAGTTTTAGTTTTGTTCTAAAGTTGAAATATATTGAGATAGAATATATAAGAGTTGTTGTTGAATATTTGTAAAAAGAAAAGTTGTATCGGAAGCCCTCCAAACCCGAAAGGGACGGAGTATAAATAAATATTATCTTCGTAATAATGTTTAATCTAACAACAAATCGATCAGGATAAATAAGTGTTTTCAGTGAATAAGATTTTTTAATTTTGATTGGGCAAGAATACGAATGGCGAGGAAAAAAAAATCAGTGCAGGGGTGATTTTTAGCCTCCCAGTGACTGCGACAACACCACCACCACCACCGTCACCACCCTCAAGGGTTTTAAGATATGCAGGACGCAAGGCACGCTTTCCTAGCGAGACTATTTCAATACGAATGAGAGACCCTCTCTCTCTCTCTTCTCTCTACTCTCGAGGAGACGATATGGTTCGAAGCGAGAAACTCGCGGAAGATCTACTTCTTGATTACAGAACTTTTTACCTAATTACATAACATTGTTACCATTTACAAAGTCGCCAAAGGGTCTACGTTTGTCGACTACTAATCAGGAACGTTCTAAGGATTAGCATCCTCTCGAAGATGAGAATCTCGTTCGGTTTCGATGGAATTCGTGAAATTCTTCCAACGTGTAGAAGCTACGTGTTCTTTTTAAAGAGAAAAAGAAAAGGGAAAAAGAAGTTTTATCGTATAAGAGCTTTAGAACTCCGTAATTACAAGAAAGTAGAAAATAGCTTTTAGAGAACTATATTCTAGGAACATTTAACTTTTCAACCCATACACACAAAATATCTTCAATTCGGACTAAAATCGTTAGCAACCTCTATAAATATTAAACAAAGTAATAAAAAACAACAATTCGAATGACCATATTCATTCATTCATAAATCAAACAACTTAAAAAAATAATTATAATAATAATAATAATATTTTGTATAAATATATTTTATTTTTTGAAGAAAAAGAAAAACAATAAATTGAATAGTAAAATTTGATCAAAGATTCTCGAATATCAGACATTAAGACGTCTGGCAGTTCGACCTTCAACCTCCCGTAGCATAAACCCCTTTCGGCCGCAGCCCCTTTTAGAAAGTAATAGTAGGGAGGGTTACTCTGGTAAGTGGGTGTAGGTAGGTAGATAGGTAGCCTTTAGACGACGACGACGACGACGACGACGAAGGTTCACCAGTCTCGTCTCGTCTCGTCTCGTCTCGTCTCGTCTCATCTCTTCTCGTCTCCATTGTCCTCTAATTCTCATCCGATCCTCACATTACGTAATTTTCTCTTTATTATTTTATAATTCCCGACAGAGAGTGTGCGGTACCTGGACCTGTGCCGGAGTCTGATCCAACTCCGGCAGATCCGCAAGTTTCTCATTCCGTTGCCTGCGCATACTAATGCGCGCATTTATTAATTATTCCATCGCTAATTACCACAGATTCTATTTCTCTTTCTTCTTCTTCTCCTGCGTCATTTCTCGGGTTACGTCACTCACCGATTGAGATTAAAACCTTATCGCTAACTCAATCTCCTAATAAATTCGAGAACTGAATTTTAAGAAAACAATAAAATATGATAAGACGGAAAAAAGGAAAGATAGGAGTAGGTTTGTTGTAATGGTAGTAGTAGAATTTCGTGTTGGTAAGAAATATATATATATATTCACAAGAGAAGAGAAAGATAGAGAGAGGGAGAGGGAGGGAGAGAGAGATATTGATTCGGTAGAATGCTCCGCGGATTCCGAACGGATTCTTTACATTGGACTTGAGTTCGGTGGGCTTCGGGAATGAAATTCCCTTTTAACGTCGGCCAGGCGATTCCTTTTCATGGCAATCGCAAATGTTTAATTGGCTTGGCCGAGAAGCAGGTAACGGCAACGTTAATTGCACTAGATTGCCACCGGGCCCGCCCGCCTTAGCGAACCAACCAACCAACTAACCAACGAACACGAACGAACGAACGAACGAGTATTGTAGAAATTCGAGAAGAAGATAGAAAGATAGAAGATACCTAAGGCAGGTGGATGGTCCGACAAGCAACTAGACGATTCTTGGCTCCTTGGAAAAGACTTCTCTGCATTGAATGCTAAACAAAAGTTAATTTATATCCGGAGGTCGAGACTTTGTAGGAGAGATCGGGAGATGAATGGCTGTACATTTTGCATACCAAGTGGCTCGTCAGTTCCTCAAGGACCAACGAACGGAGTTAAAGATCCCGAGGGATCCTCCCTCCGGGATATTCTCTTTTCTATCCCTCTTTAGCTTTTACAATTCTTAGAGAAGGCGCACGTACCCAGAGCATCCTTGAAAATCACTCGATCGACACCTCCTTTCATACTTTATCAGAAATTCCGATACTGTTCTGGGACATTTTCGAATAATAATTTAAACCTGATCGAAATCATAGATTTTCTATTCTTCGAAAACGATTTATTTATCTATTATGATAATAATAATAATAATTATTATTATTATTGCAATAATTTTGAGCAGAATAAAGAGAAAAGTTTAAAGTATAAGGGTAAAATCGATTGAGTTGAGGTAGTTGAAACGAGAATGAGAAATTTTCTTCTCGTTCGAGAGGCACGCAACGATCCGAAGATATTCCCTTTAGGGTCGTCACCCTTAAAATCCTGCGGTACGTTGTACGAGAAAGAGAGAGAAAGAGAACATTCTCGTTCTTCGATAATCATATATCCCCTTCAAGAGAAGAACACCGAGTGTTCCAACGCGCAACGCCTGCAGTAATGAACGAAATTACGGCTGAGAATTAGTCGGCGCTAAATGAATTTCTCTTGCGCTTCAACGATTTCCTGATAACACCGTGGAAAGCTTCTGTACCGTTGGGTTTCGTCTCGACGTCAAAAACCGCTTTCACTGAAACTCGATTTTCAACGATTGTTGCACAAAAGATTACGCGGATAAGTAAACAGATTAATCCAAATTATTTCATAAAATATCGCGTACTAAATTTGCCTACCTGAAAAACGACGAAAGAAATATTATAGAAATAAAACAAAAGAAAAAAAATAATTAATAGAACAAGGATCAAATGTAATAAATAATAAATCAAGGTATACAGATTGCATTTGGTTATCCTGGATAGGAAGCCTGTTGATCCAGTGTCCCGAAGGTGGAACAACATCGTCTAGCCGGCGTTGAACTTTCT